CAAGCCAGGGGGGGTTAAGCCAGGAGTGGTTTCTTTACTGTGGCATTATAATAAAAAAGAGAAAAAATAAGAAAAAAAAGGAAAAAAGAGAAAAAATAAGAAAAAATAAGTTTTTAAAAGGGTCTTAGCAAAAGGGTTATGAGCAAAAAAAGACACGTTTTTACCGTGGATTGGAAATGAGTTTAATATCAGAACTTATAAACTAGGTAATATCCTGTATGTAATGTGATATATTGACAAATTTAATCCAGCTATTAAATATGCCATTGACAAAATTGAGTTAAGAAATATCATTTTTAAATTGACTCAATTGTCAATGGGACACTGACAATGTTAAAGTTGACAAACGACACTGCGGCAAGACAATCATTTTTGTTTCCCTGAGTTGTAGTCAGTGAGTGAGAGTGGTCGAAGTGTGTCAGTGCCAGCTCAGTGTTCACAGTGCTGACTGACCAGGTCAATCAGTTGTCGATTCGCGAAATCAATCAACCAATGGATGAATGAATGAATAATGACAATGACCTGACTTACTATTTATTATTAGTAGGCTAATGAATTTGAATCATTTTAATTTAAGAATCGACAACATGAATGCTGAGATACATTCAAAGTCAAACGCAGTGATTATCATCTGGTGCATCAGTGAGTCAGTGCACACACTGACTGAGGCACATCAGTACACACTTGCACTGCCACAGTACTACGACATTACGGCCTTTTCTGCATAGTAAGCCTGGAGCAAATGACAAAAGCATGGGCATTGACAAAAAGGATCATGACAAGCATTTGATAAGCATCTGACAGTGGATACAACACCCTCCTTTGCGACCCTCATTTGGCAATCACCGCAATGAACAACACCACTGTCGGCACACTTCACAAATGGGATCAGCTTGCCATCAGAAGACTGGAGCCACTTGATTGCATCTTTGGATGGATCTCTGCCGGGATCCACCTTGATTTTCTTGGGTTTGGGCTCTGGTTCCGCCACTGGAACACTGTGTATGATCCACCCTTGATCATGGCTGCTGGGCTCGCACAACTGCGACTGGGATTCGTCCAGCTGAGTTGTCATGAGGACCAATCAAAAGGAATACTAATCTTAGCCTAACTAAATTTAAATCTTGGGCAAAAAGTTCCTGCAGGTGTAACAGTTTAACCTAACGTAACATGAATGAAGAAAATAACAATGAATTATTCAGGACCATCATGCTGTAAAACATACAGCAACTAGCCGGAATCAGTTAAGTTATTGCCATCGAATCTGATTGGCTTATCAAATTACCAGACAAATAAATGATCATTGTGATCAAAAAAATGAGATGTCCAAGAATCAATAGTAGCAAGCCCCAGCAATCGTCATTTTTCCCTAGCTTCGCCAATCATCATCAACCAGCACACAGTTGTCAGTGCCCAGGTGGCTGAACATCAGTGCACACAGTGGCGGCACATCAGTTCACACGGTGAAACAATAAATTACATCAGAGCACACAGTTGGCACATCAGTTCACAAGGTGGAACATCAGTGCACAAGGCCAATGAGTGCACCAGGTGGGTGGCACATGACTAATTAACAGGCAATTTCATTGCCTGGTCCACTGGTTCTGATTGATTATTTTGTTTCAATCAAATTAATTAAGTTCAGTTCAATTCAAACAAAATTGACCAGCTTCGCCAAATCAAGAGACAGAGACCTGAGTGAGTGAAACCAGCAAGAGTCTACTTACAAGAACCAAATCGGCGTCTCTCCGAAGCCTTACCATATAAGCTCCGCAGAGAGTCAAATGTGGTTCTCGCCAAATGAGCTCTAACCATTATGTTATAATGTCCTCTCAGGCTTGAGAGGGTCAGTCTGTGAGGCGGGTCAGTGCATTGTTTCAAATCATTTAGTTTAAGCAGAAGTCCAGTGAAGCTAGTTCGACTGACTCGGCTCCTGAATCAACTGAATCACTTCCTGAAGCGACAGGTCGTCGTCTTCGTTGGGATCATCGTCATCACAAAAATTGTCGCATATTGAAACCATTTCCCAAAAGATGGCACGCATTTCAAACTTAACTTCTTCAAATGGACTGTTATTGATCACCCTGACCAGGTTGTTACCAGTCAGCTTTGAAATCGAAAGCATGCACTTGCAACGCAACTTTGAATAAGCTTTGGCAAGGTCCTGCTTGGCGACCCTCGACTTAATTTGCCAAACCCAACTCGTCACATCGTTGTGGATCTGAGTCACACATTGTATGTCCTGGTCGGTTGACCACCCTTTTTGTTCCAGTTCCTGCAACAAGGCTTTCCAGGTCTTGAATCTTGTTACTGTTACTGTTGACTTCTTCATCTGAAATTCAGACACAAATTGCTTTCTCACTCCTACGACGGCCTCATGCCAAGCATAGAAGTGATTTGCTGGCCGCATAACAGGATCAAACTCAAACTGTGACTGTGACAGTGAAAGCATCACTTGATCCATCAATGCTAATTCAAACAAAACGTCGTCCATTGCCTTCTGAATCTGAAATGCCTGAGTTGTAACTCCGTGAGATCTCACAGTCGATGATGAGCTGCTTGAGTTTGAAGCCCCTGCAACTAGTGATTGAGCATCATTCTGTCCTTTCGCATCATCACTTTCAGAGATCGCTCTATAAATAGTGTATCTCAACATCTGGGATATTTTGTCGGGCCATCCATTGTACGCATCAGTTGGCGTAGGCAAATCCGTCATCTGCTGCGACATAAGTCAGACAGAGTCCCTTCGTTTCAATTGACATGATGATTCATGATGATGCCGCGGTTTAATTAATTTAATTGATTCTTGATTTCACAGAGGTAGGATAAAATTCACCGCATCATGAGTCAATTGGAGGACCTGATGAAAAAATGTTTTGATTTTGTTCCAATGAATCAAATCAAAAATCCAAAAGTGCAAAGCATTAAACAGTCTACAAATGAGTCCAATGACCTACTAAATTATTGTGACTTGAGATTGAAAGCTCTATTAGTGAAAGAGTGCACTCTGTTACTGTTTGAGATTGAACAAGTGCTTGCCCATTGAACCAATCAAAGTAACACTAACTGGCCTGGATTCAATGACAATGGATTCATTTGTCAGTTTGAAGTTTGTCAGCCATGACGCAAACCTGAGTGATTTACCAAACAAATGACTATGGCCCTTCAAAACGAAATGTGCCTGATTTGCAAGCCACAGTGCTCATTTTCCAGCTTCACCAATCAATGAATGAATCAAATCAGCACACAGCTGGCTGACAGACGCCCAATGGATGTCAGAAATCCGGTGTGACCTGTGAGACATTAGAGTCCAGCTCACAATCAATCAATCAATCAATTAATTAATGAATCAATCTGAGTCACCCGCTATTTAGCCATTCCGTTCAAAATGAATCAATGAGCCACTCATTGATGGAGTAGAAATTATTATCTATATGTTGGACTGAAACAATAAACCGTTGAAAATACTCTACTATAGAGAGAGAATAATCCGCCAAACATGACTGACTGTCAGCTGTCACAGTGTCACAGGTGAAAGTAATGAATCAGTCAATAAAAATCACAGTCACAGCAGTGATCCGTTTAATGCAACAACTTAGTCGAGTCAAACCAAATTGTCATTCATCAGTCAGTGCTTAGTATACGGCCGAGGTGAGCAGCGTGTACCGTGCCATAAATTGAACTGGAAGAATCTTCCAGTCAGTTCAATGGCACGGTACTCTGTCTGAGCGATGCTCAGAGTGATTTTCAATGTGTGACAGTGACACCCACCTCTAATGACCGATGCTAGCAAGCGCCGACCGAAGTCAGCTCCCCGTGCCATCACATGTCACAAGTCTGCCAGTGACACCTCCGCGTGGCTCAGAAAATTCCTTCCCACCGGGAATCACGAGCTTGGAGATGTGGGGCAATACTGTTGTGGAGTTTGGCAAGTTCAAGGGATCGCGAAATCAGCATCAATTGACAACATTAAATGAATGCGTGCACACAGGTTGGCTGCACACCAGGTCACCACTGCAAATCAAAACATGATTGGAACGTCAGTGCACAAGGTGGCGCATCAGTTCAGTGCAGACAGTGGAACATCAGAGCACACAGGCGGCACATCAGTTCACACGGCTGAACAGAACATCAGTCAGAGCACACAGGCGGCACATCAGTACACAAGGCGGAACATCAGTGCACAAAGTGGCACATGACTTAATTGACTGACTGACAGGCAGTGTATCAGCGCCCTTGACACCACTGAATTAAGCATCCACTGACTGACTGAAACTGAATGAACAAAAGATTTAAATTTTAAATGTAGCGATATTATGACTCATAAATGGAATCATGACAGCTGCACCTATAATTAACATGAGTCATTGTTATTATAATAGAATCTGAGGCTGTGACTGTCACACTTGCAAGTGGGCAGTCAAGTGGACAACCACATACGAGCTATGATGATCTGACGTAATATCACAGAATGTCTGTTCTTGTGCATGTGTGATGATGGTCATTCATTGGTTCTATTATTATATCCTTCCAATGAATGCAACTGATTTGCATCACAGTCACTCAGTCACAGCGAGATGAGATAGATTCGATTTGCCCCTCTCTGAAATGAACATACAACATCATATAAGAGTGATTGATATTTGTAGTCATGAATGAATCGCAGAGTTTTGTCACATGATCTGATCTGTTATGCCTGCTTCAGTGACTGCCAGTCATTTGGCGTGCCCTCAGCTCTGACTTGGTGAGGCTAAGTGAGTCAGCCCATGGCACCAGGGCAGACATAACAAAGTATTCAAAAGCGGCAATTGGGCAATGGTTGTTGAAGCAAAGCAAGGCTAAATAAAAACCCAACGTAAAAAGGAACAGAACCAATTTCTGAGTTTCAACAAAGAATCAATACTGAACAGCTCAATTTCAAAACTGATGAGTTAATCAAATTGAGTGATTTGAAACCCATTGCCCCTGCCGGCAGTGACGACTGGAGCAAAGCATGACTTTCAAAGACGGGTCCGTTTGCTTCCACAGCATTTTTTATACTGCTCAATCCAGTCCATGGCAAAGGTGTCAGTGTCCCCAACAATATGAGCAAGTCTTCGCGAGAAGTACGGGCCACTGGATTGATTCAATGAATTGTCATCATCGCGAACTCTCATGAACCAGGTGGGCTTATCCCGCTGTCCTGGCCGTTCGTCAAATTTGATCTGGCCTGCAATGGCAACATTACACCGACGACACGGGACGTCAGTCCATTGGTTGATGGAATTTCGCGTATGGCAAGGCCAAGGTCGTTCTGCTGCAGCCTTGGGCGCTGCCTGACAAACGACTCAGTTAACTCAGTGAAGGGTCAATTCAATCCGAGTCCAACAATGGCAATTGATCCAAATTGAAATCAACCATTCACATTATCATCATGGCACTGACTGACTGACTCAAATTGAATCTGAATTGAAAATGGCCTGGGGAATAATTTTTAAGCTGCATCATTGTTTGATTGAAAAGTTTGCCAGGCCGGTCCCTGAATACATTGAAATTGTTAATTCCGAAACTAGCCATATATACTTATCAAAAATAACAAAAATCAATAAAACATATTAATATAATATAGGCGAGCACACCAGCAAGGAAAACGTAAATAATTACTGGACTGGAAACCTTGGCCTTGGGCACTACAAGATCCACGCCCGCCGCTGCTGCAGCGACTTCAGCAGGAGGTTCCAAATCAGGTACTGCAGGCTGGAGTGGCACTGGATTGGCAAGCTCAGATGCAGGTACCATCGGGTTTTCAACAGCTTCTGCTGGAACTGAATCAGTTTCCGATTCGATTGCGACAATGACTGTGTCAGTGTGCACTTCTTCAATTGGCTCAGTAGGACGAGAGCATGATGATGATGACGCAGCAAGAGTAGCTTGTTTCTTGGCTGGGCTTCTCCACTTCCACTCTCGCAACTTTGGCACTGGCACTGGTGACGGCGGAAGCGTCTGCAGACCTGCGTCCATGGCAGTGTCATCCGGGGGCACTTCAAAATCATCAGCAGACTTGTCCTCTGGACGGCGATGGTCACTGGCATCACCACTAGCAGCAGCATCATCATGCCCATGCACTCGCTCATCGCCACCAATAATAGTAGGTTCAGGCTCTTTGACTCTGGCCGCCTCAGCGGTTGAGATTAAAGTGACAATCAATGAATCAATACTTTATTAACTTAACTTACTAGTTACTAGTTGATTGTTAAAAAAAAGTCTATTTAATTTAAACTAACTGAATCAAAAAATGTCATCAGTAAGACTTAAGACGCCTACTAAACAAAAACTAACAGTTTACAAATCACAGTTAGTAGCATCTTCGATTGGAGCAATGGCTTGCCGCCTTCGTTTTCGGGAATTGAAGACTCCTCTGGCAGCTTGCCGGACAGGTTTTGCCATGGATTTTGCCTTGGCCTTTGCCTTGGCTTTGGCTTTTGACTTGGCTTTTGCCTTTGCTTTCGCTTTCCCCTTGGCCTCCTTTGCAACAATCATCAAGTTCCAGTCAGCTTTGACCTTTTTCTCAATGGCTTTTGCCACCTCATCGAAATCTCGACGCTCTTCAGCTGGGAGGTCCAGCAACACCAGTTCGTCCAATGCTCCACCAAATAACTCATTCTCGTCATCCTGGGCCTTCGCAGCGGCAGATGATTTATTCTGCTTCAGTGACTCATGCACTTGCTCAATGTAATCGGCATCACCATTTGAGGCGAAGTCAATGACACTTGCCAACAAATCTTTCTGTGGTAACTGTCGAAGTTGATCACGGTCGCCATGACACGGAGGCATGAAAAACTTTTCACTGATCGTCTCCAAATCAGTCCGGGAAAGTTGTTTGATTCGAGACGGTTCACGCAAAAAAAACTTGAGTAGCGACTCTGACTCGTGCAACGGGCAATCCAGGATGACTTGTGAGTCATGAAATAGTAACTCGTAATTCATGACGACTTCCCAGGACTCCGGCTGTTCAAAAAAATGAAACTCAGCAGCTGCAGTGTCATCGTCTGCGTCCAAACAGAAGTAGACCCTGTCCGGACGACATGGGCCATGAACCTGTCTCAATGGCCACAGCAGTGCAGCCCAAACTTGATTCCCCGAGCAAAGTCCCAAAAATCCAGTGGATGTGTTCCGCAAGATTGTCATGGAAATGGCCATTTGACCAAACTTTCCATAGGCCAGCCTCACCTGATTGTGAGCCAATCTGTTTTTGAAGTAGTACCTGAAAAATTGCCACGCAGCAGCACCCTTTTGAATCATGCCATCATTGACTGTTCGCCAAGTCTTTCTCTTCAAGATGCCGCCCCATTCTTCAGACAGCTTGTGAACCGAGGCAAGGTATCGCCTTGAAGTGATGCCAAATTATTCAAATTATTATATAATTAATTATCTTATTTATTAATTAATATCTATCTGGCTTGAAAAGGACAAAATGCGATTTATAAAAACAACCGTGGCTGTGAGTAACTTAATTAAAATAAACATTAGAATTTTAAGACCAGTCACTTTTTCCTGGTGTTGCCGGAAGCTGCGCGATAATCCCGCATAAACGAATCCTTGGTGACTTTGGCTTTGTTGTCAATATTGCGTGAGTCAAAGACGTTGCTGCGTGTCAGTGTGTGTTGCATCATACTGTATGTCATCCGCCTGTTTTTGAACTTTTTGTTTGCCAGCCTCAAAACTCCATGTGCGTCCTCTACAATTTTGGAATCAGGTAGGACCTTCAAAAGCCCTTTCAGCACATGCAAGCCTCCTGGGGAATTTCTGTGAAATGAATTCTCCTCGAACGCCAGGAAAAGTAAGCGGATGCATGGACTAATCAAAATTGACAAGTCCTCAAGCAACTCGACCTTAACCTTCCTTTGCGCCATCAAAGCTGCTTCTGCTTCCAAGCGAAGTAGCCATTCAAAGTCTTGGTGTAGCATTGCCACCGCTTCCTGTGAAATGAACTCCGAACTTAGTGGTGATGAAAAAAAACACTTGCATTCATTAGTCTTTGGCTAAATGACTGTGACTGTGATTCAGCATCAGTTTGTCATTAATAATTAACTGATTTGATATCAATGATGACTGTGACACAAGCATGGCTGGCAGGCCTGAGCTTCGGCGACTGAGCCACCCAAGATTGCAGAATAACAGTCCGGAGGGGCAGTATACTGCTTGGCAAATGACCAGGCCCGGCGCTTCAACAAGTTGGAGACAAGCTTGAACAATTTGTCACCTGAGTCTTTGAATCTCGAAAGTTCTGGGTCTTCAAATAAACTGACAACTTCTGGGCTGCGCGCTGTCAGCACTGCCGCAGTTTGAACCAAGTGATTGTCTGACGCCCATGACTTCTGAAGTTCTGTGGTTTGCTTCACTGTGTCTTCAGCAGATTTCACTGACTTGACTGTGTCCGCATACCAAGTCCAAGTTGGCATGGTTGCTGCAGCAATGAGTCGCACAGTGTGGAGCAGCCGGTCACTCATGAGATAGTATGCCAACTTCAATCCACCGCCAAGGTTTTGCTTCAATCGGCTGAACTCAGACCTCAAATTTTCTTTTGTACCAGCCGACTTCTGTGTCGCTTTGACTCCAATCTTCAACTCTCGATTGTAAACAGCATCATTGGGGTCAAGTTTGTCTGCCGCAGGGCCCAGCCAGTGTTTCAGTACCATCCTCAACACTCTGAATTCAGGGACCTGTTCTTCACAACTTTGATTCCATGAAAACCACCGTGACAATTTTGGAAGTGTTCCTTTTGTGTTAAAACCTGGAAGCTCGCAGATTGCGGCAAAAACCTCTTGCGGCGATGTGTGCTCAGGAAGTCCCAAGTCCAATTTGAAGAGCTGCAGCTGTTCGATAAACGGTCCGTAGTCTTCGGTTTGCAAAGCCATAAAATGATCCATCATCCGTTTCTTTTCCTCCATGAAACCTCCACTTCCAAAAGGACGGTATTGAAGAGCCCACAAATACGTCGAATGCATTTGAGCGGACAAAAAAAGGCTTCCTGAATCTGCCAGAGCGCCCTTGACATCATTGACTGCCCTGTGAAAAATGTCCCACCGGACATGAATCAAACGCCCCAATTTGTGAATGGCAAACCTCAATCACGCATCTTGGAGAATCATGACACACTGATGGACAATCATCTCACACATTCACAATTCATAATAAATGAATCAAATCACAATGAATCCGGAGAATTATTCATTTTAATGAAAAAGGGGTCATGGCACTGTCGAGGCGCAAAGATAATAATGACAAGGTTTACCCAAAAAAAAACTTTAATCAAGTGCCACTGAACAAATTCAAGTCCAGGTCACGCACTTCCTGCACAGCCTGGGCTCCCTTGATCCATTTGCAACACCAACATTGGGACAGTGGACCACCAGTTCGCTGAGCCAGGAATGCACATTTGCACTTGCGGTTCAGGGACCTGAGCCTCCTCAGAATCACCAACCATGAGGAACTGTTGCTTTTGCTCAAAACCTGCTTGCAGCTTGCGGCCCTCATTTGACATAAAGACAACCCTTTCTTCATTGGGCTGAATCTGTCGGAGGATGAGTCCTTCAGGAGGTTTGAAAAAATCCAGGCTTGGAACCCGGCCCTTTGTTGCCAGGTTCAACTGGTGCGAAATTGCTTGTAGCTGACGAAGAGAAGATAGTCTCACAAGTCTGCGCTCCTGGCATGGGTCGTCAAATGGCTGGCCACTGGCATTGTAAAATAAAATTTTTCAAGGTCAGCTCAACAATTTGTGATGATAAGTAGTAACTATTGATTTAGAATTCATTCTCTTGAGTCAACCTCTCCTTGGCCAGGGCCTCGACTAACGATTCCAAATTCCATTCATCTGGGGCAATTTCTTTGCCAGGCAAGGTCATTTGCAAATTGGCAAACAATGCAGTCGCATTTTCGTGCGTCCAAAGCAACGAGACCAGAATATTCTTGCCACCAGCATGTGTTGAAGCATCGCTGACCATGTTGAAGTGATATGCACCAACCAAACACAGATTCACTTGATCATCATGCATTTGGGCGACCTTACGGATCCAGAAGTCGATGCTGCTCTCTGACGAACCACCACTGTTTGACAGCCTGGGATTCTTTTGAACTTTCAGAGAGTCTCTAGCTGAGACACCACTATCATCAGCATTCAATGTCTCCCAAATTGCATCCAATGACATGCTGGTCCGTTTTGTGCCATCTTGCCTTCTGAAATGTCTTGCCGGCGCAGCTCGGTCTGTGTCATGAGTCTGCTGGTAAACGCGCAAAGACACTTCAAGTCGGTTTGACAAAAAACAATCAATGATCGGACCATTGCTGTCAATGCTTGTCCAGTTGGTCGCTGTGGGGACCATGTTTTTGTAGCATGGGCCCGCTTGAAATTGTCTGCCTGTCATACAAACATTGTCAAGTCTCTCAGAGAAACTTCAGCTTCGAGTTCAGACCAAAGAATGTCATTTTCATGCATTGACTTCCAAACAGTCTTCCAAGCATCAGCACTTGTAGAATGAAGATTCGACAACTTGTCCAACAGGCCAATGATACGGCCACCTCGGCTAACAGAAATACGGCCTGTCAAAGGCGGCGTCATCTCCAAAAATGATTCGTTCACACCAACCAAGTCCAGGAAATCCTGAACATCCACACTGACAGCCCGTTCGCACAGTTTTTCAACCCTCTTGATGACATGCGTTTGCATGTCCTTATTTCTACCACCAGTTGCAGATGCCTTGGAATAAAGAAAGAAAAATGACAACAGTGCCTTTGTCGACGCCATTGAATCTTGGTCACTGGCATCAGTTCGCAATCTGAAATCAACACCAGAATCGAAAGAAGGCCACAAGCCACTATTAATGACTGTATCTCGAAGGCTTTTGCACCACTTGTTCAGTTTGCGCTGTTCACCTAAGTCTACAAATTGGTCATAGCAGTACTTGAGAGTCCAGAGTACAATTGTTTGACCATCATCATTGGTCAATACCTGGCAACTCTTGGACAAAAAAATGCCATCCTCGTTGTCTAATGTGAGGTTAGCCAGTCCTGGATTGTTCACCAATGGCAGGACAGGGGTTCCTGGAGCTTGGGCTAAGAATGCATCGTCCGCAGGCACTTCCCGGTCATCCTCCATACTGACTGCTGACACTGACTGTCCTGAGATGTGAGGTCAGTCAGTCAGTCCGCATACACTGTCATAGCATTGAATTGCTGTCGAGATGTACAATGTATGTAACAGCTGCAAAGGCTGTAATAGAATAATAGAATGCAAATCAAAACAAAACAAAATAAGAATTTAATCCTGTGATGATAAACATTTGAATAATTGACAGGTCAAAGTTAAGAGTCAGGCTGCAGGCAGTCAATGTCAGGCAGCCACAGCCAGTCAGGGCCAATATTCAGCAACGAAAACAACAAGTGATAGCGGACTATTATGCCAGACAATCCGGCAATCAAGTCACAGGTGATCACTTGAAGGCTTCTTTTGAATTTTGGCTGACAGCTTGACTTAGTTGAGCACAGCTGAATTCCGAATGAATAATCAATCAACTAAATAAGAGCTGAGTCAGTGAAAGGAATTTGATCTGATCTCAGTGACACTGACGTTGTTGTCAACGAAGCATTCACAATTTAAAATGTAGTCATTGTTGAGTTCAGATTCAGTGATAAATATTAATTAATATTGTAATCAGAACTGTTTCAAGATCAGAATCTCTAAAAGTTGTTGTTTCCAGTGTTGCTGTACTGTAAGGCCGATCAGACATATCGTCTCAAATCAAAATAACAATAAGTCTTTGAGCCAAGTCAATTCCACACATTCATTCAAAGCAAGCAGAAAAAAAACATTTGACATTTGACAGTGCCATTGAATTGTCAGTTCACGAAATACATACCAAAGCTTCTGGCAAATGACAGTGACAGACCTGCCTGACCCAGATTGATAAGAATCAACAGTATTATATTATAATAAGTGCAGTGGCCGCATATGATTTGTTCATTGTGCTGGATCTGAGATGTCTGATTGATTCCAATCCATCAGTGACAGCGAGTCAGCAGCTAAAGTTCCACCTCAGAACACATGGCATGTATGATACTGGTGTATCAAATCATGTCAAACTGATATCACTGATAGCCTAACTAGCGTCAAACTAAAACTGTTCAGTGATTCAGTAATGAATGCAATGTCAATTCATTTCCAGTCAGTCTGTCTAACTACTATGGACCCTGCAAATTGTTGACTGACTCTGTGAACTGACCTGTACGTCATCGCAAACTTCACTTGAGCTCGTCGTTGGAAAGTGAAATTGACACTTGAAATGATGCAAGGCAGGCACTTCCTGTTGCAATACACACACAAGCCAAATATATATATATATATAATTTAATTAACAATAATTGCTTGGCAGTGACAATTCAGAAACTTGCTCTGACTGAGAATGAGAGCACTGGCAACTATGTTTTAATGACACAGCTCAGCGTCAAATTGAGGTGCATCACAGACTGTTGAGTCGCTCAGCACATCATAAGTTTTGATCGATGCATGGTGCATCGCTCCACAAAAAAGGGAGATCAGCACACACACTAAATCATTAATTAATTGCCAAGCTGACCAGTATTAATTAAAGCTGTAATAGCGAATCAATCAATCAATGAATGACAGTGAGTGAGCAATGTAAAATCAGTGAGCACCGTTTTACTGATAATAATGCATGGATCAGAATTTTCACTTCAGACTTCTCGCTAACACAGACTGAGTCAGCCAAAAAAAGCAGAGACGACAGCTTCACCAAATTCTCTGGTGTAAGCTTGGCTTTGTGTGAGTTGCTGTTTTTGCCCTGTGAATGATCCAGAATCATCTCGAGTGACCAATGAGGAATCATCAGAAGGTGCCAAAAAAGACGGTTTCGAGCGAATCAATGAATGAATCCTGGCCGATGGACTCAGAATCTGCAGTGGCTTCACTGTCTCTGCACCGAAAGATCCATGGTATGTTGTGACTCTGTAGGTCTCGCAGAATGTCAAAACAGCATTCACCACTGAGTACAGCGGCATGCAGGAGTTCAGTGGTTGCTCAAGTGCTGGAATGTTACCCATGAGGGCAGTGAGCAAGTAAAGCAAAGCACTCACAGCGGCAAGCCCATTTCCAATCTGTACAAATGCACGATTTGTATCACCTTCGTAGCCGTTTGACTCTTGCCGCAAACTCTGAGCACGGCACAACACTGTGAAACTCGAACACACAGTGCCAAACCATGTCAATGAAAGAGGCTTTGTCCCTGCCAAGGCTGCTTAAAAAAGCCGCAAGCCGCGTCTTGACAACGCATCATGTTCTGAGGTGTAAATGTAGTCAAAGCTTCTGCCTTCAAGACCAAATCTAATCCCCGATTTGGACAGTTCAGCTTGACCTGAGAAATACTCGATGTAATCAAGGGAACAAGTTCCCATATGCCGGTTGTGCAAGGTTCGGCAAACTAGAGCGAACAACATGTCATGAATTTGCATCCATTCCATCCAAGGAAACGTTAGCTGAAGCATAGGTTTCCACGACTTTGCACATTGTGAATCAAAATACAGTGCATCATAGAGCAAGAACTTTTTGATCTGATCGTTCAGCCATGCCAAGTCACATATCCTTTTCGAATCATGAATAGTTGGAAACTTATCCCAAGCACAAATCTCAGGACTGCTCAAATCAGTGGCAGCACTCCACTGATCGAACAATTGATTGATCTTGTTGTCACTGTGTGCACACTGCCTGCCATCTGTGGTCCATGCACATCTGCTCCTTGAGCGCTGTCGTACTGCCATGGCTGACTGGGTCAATGTGCGGATGGCTTTGGTAAGTACAATGTTACACGTATCAATCAATCACAATCTTGTTTATAATCGATTCGCTTGCCTCCAAGATACATATATGCATGCAATTATTTGTGTGCTTCAGCTTTGAGTCTGCAAACAAGAATAATAATTTATTATAATAAGACAAAACATACCTAGAAACTCTTTTGGCAAAAAAACATGCCGGAGGACAAGTTTGGCTTGATATTTACGCTGGAAGCTGGTAAAATTGAATCGCCGGATTGCTCCAAAAACGCCAGCGGAATGCCAAAAATAACCGCCGGACATACCTGCTTCATTTCTTCAAACTTAAACTTGTCAAAGCTGACCTATGAAAATTTACGCCGGAAGTAGGGGCAATTACACCGGATTTGCGGGCAATTACGCGGGAATTGTGGGTAATCACGCCGGCTCCGAAAGTAAAAAATATCGTTAAAACCATGCGAGGCAAATTTGCCAGCATACATCAAAAAACGCCCGCAGGCCCAAAAAGGCGCCTTTGACCCAGCAAAGTCGCCTTTTTAAGGGCAAAAATAAAAGGGTATTTATTATTGGAGTTTCCAGGTATGTCTCAAGAAGGTGAGCAGCAATGTTCATTGTGCTATTCAGCTAGACAAACATAGTGTCAAGCCAACTTTAAAAAAATATATTATTAGAAAGCAAGGGACAACAAAAAA